CTTGGGCACCACTAATGCTGGGTATTCAAATAGTGCACCCAGCACTTTGTCCAGCGATGTTCGGCTCTTTTTTTTCTTAGTTAATAATTCAATTCTGCTGTATATCCTTTCCTTCCAGTAACACTAACAAGAAGGATGCTATTGATATTCGACAAATAAAGCAATTCCCACTTTGACTATTAATTTTTTGCAGCACGAATTCTTTTGGGTCTTGCCTTTTTATGCTGATTTTTTTGGGGGGTTTATTTGTGCGCCTCCAATGTTGCGGAAGAAAATGTTCCAAATGTGGGCAGAAGGCTGAAGTTTGATATTTGCCAACTCAATATTTGCGAGTTGTGTTAATTCCACACTAGTAACGCTAAAAATTAAAGAAAAGAATTTCAATAAAATTTTCACTTTCAATGGAATACCTCACTTAGGTGGTCCATATATACACATGGCTTACCTAATTGGGACAGCACTAACTTAGTTTTCTTTAGGAGAAGATAGGAAAGTAACTTTAACTAAAAAAATTTATAGTTTAGAAACAAAATAAATCATAACTTAAAGAAATATAAATTAGTTTCCCATACAATAGAAATTCGAGCTGATATACCTGAGTACATGTTGTTGTTAGTGTGGCAATTCCTTTAGTGCCAATCTTTGCGAATGATAAAACTTCAATGTAAGTGGTTAATATCAGGGACGAGAGAGTCTTAGATGTGGTCCAGGAGTCAACCTTTCTTTATATCTGACCACCGATTGTTGAGATCTCCATTTTTGACTGATTGATATGGGATTGATATTAAATAGTATCTACAATTATTCCTTAGTGTGTAGGCAAAAGTGAATAGCTTATGGATATTTATAAATTTTTAGAGTTTGTTTACAGGAAACGGTAAACATCGATTAAGACACTGTATGAGACTTTAGCCCACTAAAACCAACGTTTGGGACTAATTTGTTGATAAAAATACAAAACCCAGACCATGAAGGTCCATTGTGCTGTGGGTCACATGCGATATTAACAAAAATTGTCACCTTTTTTGAGGAAGCGGAAGACGGTGAAATGAAGAAATGAACTGATATGTGAGTTACTTATTATGACTGACTCAAGAACTTTAGAACTTTAGTCAGGGTCAATCTTGAGACGGCGCAGTTAAACAACGAAAATATGCCATAGTGTCCATGGTGTTCCATGCTAAAAATATTAACATCCGACGTGCTGGTATTAAAATAGGGGTAGTAGCTGCAGATTTTGTGTTATTTCTTCAATGCATTTATCGAATTTGAGTTTGAGACAACCTCTCCGGGAATAGTTGAATATAACATTAAGAGCTGCTTCTGCAATGGTGAAAGCGTCTGTATATCCCAGAAGAAAAGTTCTTTGAAGATTGGATAGTGAAGCTTTGATAGCAGTATGGTAACGAATTTATGTTGAGGAAGTGGCAAACTCTCAATACTTCTTTTTATGGTAGAGACAACTATATCAGCTTTAAGAGGGTTGATGCGAAGTCAATTTAGATTTGGGCGTTCGATACGTATTAATAAGAGAAAAATTGATAGGATGATAATATCATCTGCTTAGGTTTGTGTGTATACTCTGCGATTATTTAAAACTGTCAGAAAGGAATTCACCAAAGTAAAGAAGATAGAATACTGCTGTTCAGATAGTTCCTATTCACACCAGTCATAGTATACTGGTCATATAGGGTTACTTTAGGAGTTAAGTATGAAAGACTATGTATATAAATAACCATCTTTTTAGTTGGAAAGTTTTTGTGCATTGTCCTTGAGTTATTGTTCAATTTACAGTAAGTATCCATTATTCTTATATACAATGTAGGCACAATACATCTTTTAAGTCGCAGTCCAATATTCCTTTTTCCATAATATATGCAATGTAGAGTTTGAGATTTAACGCTATATATAAATGTGAAGTTGTTTACTGGCGAAGGTTTGGATTTGTAAATGACTTATAGCAAGGAGATTCATGAGATTGATAGACTAAAAGATAAATTTACCTAAACCAAAGATAGTAAGTAAGATAAGGAAGAAATATTGTGGTCTATGAAGCTGACGAAGAGCTAAAAATCGGTTAGATTGCGTTAATTATAAAGTCTACATGCCCTTGATTGTCAGTAATATATTAGTGACCTACAATTTTGTCTGTAAATATAGATTTCAATGAATAATTTATCAAAAGAAACTGGTTCGTTTCTTAAAAAATATATGTAATAATTTATCAGGTTGAATTAGGTTATATTTACACGTATGGTTCTTAGCTATATACAATTTCTTTCAATTAAAGGGATTATAACTAGCAATAATTAAAACTTCTCACTTGTATATTTCTGTTTTTATATACTTTATAAATGAAATTCGAATTTTTTAGATCGTAAATTCTTTAAAATTCTCGTTGTTATACGATATATGTAAATGGTTGGTTTTTACATAGGCTGTAGACCGTTTATATTAGTTTCAAACCTAATGAGATGTGTTGGCTTTTATCCACTTAACCGTAACAGCTGCCCTCTAGGTGTGAGAATAAATAAATTTATTAATTCACGATAGCATATACAATTGTGAATTGCTTAGTGTTGAGTTTTATGTCATTGGTTGAATGCCTTAACAGTTTTTATGGTTTGACTTGTTTTTGTGCTTTTATTACTTATTTTATGTGTTTTAAAGTTTATTAGAACAACTTAATTGTAAAATTAATATTAAATTCACAATTTCATTAAAAATATAAACATGTTAAATTGTACATTTTGTCTTAAATTAAGAGTATTTACAATGAATCCATCTATGGTGAATATTATGACAAATACTTTATGAGCAAAATGAAAATAAATTAAAGGCAGTTGGTTTGCATACATACATATAATGTATGTATATACAATATACAATAAATGTACATATTCATTATATGCTGAATGTAATAGAAACATATTCAAAATATATTTCAGATTACTGAACAAAAGAAAGTAAATAGTATTGTATATTAATTCATTCTCACCACTGTTGTGGTGAGTCTTCAAACATTTGCTGTAATGTAGAAATAAAATATATATGACGTCATATTTATTACAACTGTTTCCCACCACATCCAACCCTTACAATTTTTATTTAGATTTTGTGAAAAAAAGTTCTATTTACGCTTTCATTTTAGTGAAATTCGTTCACTTGCTTATGCTTTAAGTTGTTGTTGTACTTTTAATGTAAGTTAATAAAGGAGCACAAATAATAGACATTTTGTAATATGACGTCATTTCAATTAATGGTAATGGTTAGCATACTATTGTACAGGTACAGAACTCCTTTACTTGGATCCATGTTGTTCAAAACTACAAAAAACGGATTTGTGAGACTAAAAAAAATTATTTTATAAAATATTTTATTCATTTTCAAAACAATTACTGCAAAATTCTGGAGTTCCTGGAAAAAATCCTTGAAAAATCCATTTAATTTGGGGGAAGTTATCTATGTACGCCTAAACTCTCGGTCTTTAAGTATGTAAAGTATCGTTCGAGGGTTATCTGTACATTGGTATATGAAAAAAACGAAAATTTTTGTAATTGATATATATGTATATCCAGAAAAAAAGATATAATATAATAGTATTATCTATTAATTCACACATTATAAATTTCGTTAATCCTTTAATTTTACTAAACTCAATGTAATATCCACGTTATATTTGAAGCTACTAAACCTCTCATAGCCTAAATTCTAAATATTTTGAAATCACACTTTCCTAGGTAATGACATAATTTTTACAAGAAAATATGCTTATTCCATTCTCTCAGGATGTGTTTGTAGATGAATCATTACATTCACTCGTCGTATTCCGCGTGGTTGGCGTAATACAGTGCATCACACCTTCCTAGGAAATGACATAATTTTTACAAGAGAATATGCTTTTTTCATTATCTCAGGATGTTTCTGTATAATCTTCCTATGGTAGAGATATCATTTTTACAAAGGAACTTAATTATCATACTCTGGGTGGTCTCTATAATGAACTACAATCATTCATTATAGAGACCACCATTCTAATCTACCCTTGGCAATAATATAATTTTTTAAGATAACTTGAGAAATTACCTCTAAGTAAAGATCTTAGTTCGCTTGTGGGTCTTTGTGGTCTTTGTAATGCATGGTTCCGTTCTTTCCTTGGTGATATTAATTCTTTAAGAAATCATCAATTATATCATTCTGGGAGGTCTCTGTATGGCATGCTTGTAAATCCACAATAGCACTCTTTTTTTCACTCTAGGTGGTTTTTGAAATGCAGATTGTAAATGAACCGTCCCTCTCTTTACCCACTACTGACATCATTTTCATAAGAGCACATATTTATTTCACTTTCTTGGACTAACACCCATTCATTTATGTATTCATTATCAGCTGATATTTATTGTAGTATGTAATTTGAATAATTATAATTTATTATAATCAGCAATCAACAAAAAAAAATGTACTACAGAAGGTGTAAAAATTTTAAAACTCAATAATACCATAAATGGATCTTCTAAATTTAGACTTTTTAGTTTTCTTGTCTTCTTCTGTCACGATTATTTTTTTGTTTTATGTATTTTTTAGCGCCGCATTAAGCGAACAGATCGTTTCGGCGTAGGTGGCAACATGGCTTCGAGCTCAGCCTAGGTTAAACAAATTCTTGTTCCGTGTGATGATTTTAACAAAATAAAAGGTACAAAGTCTATTCATGCCAAATGTTAACAATTTAAATAAAAATTAAAAAATGGAAATACAAAATGGAAAATTACGAAAAAATCTATTGTCGTTGGAAAACAGCTTAAATACGAGTATAAAAATGTTTATCGCTTGCCACTGGGTTAGTGCAACTCGTTTCTTATATCTTAACATGTTTGTCCAAAAAAGATATATGGGAGCATCAAGCAAACAGCGCCATTCAAAGATAAAAAAATATTATTAATAAACAATTTTTCACTTTTTTTAAATTTTATTTTTAAATAAAATAAATTTGCTCTCTTAGATAAAGATATTTTGTTGTTATAAGTTCAGTACATTTTAACAAATAATTAAATAATATTTATAATATTTTTTAGAGACTTAATTTACACAATTGCCTCAACGTCCACCAGTCAGCTCTAATATCTTGTATAGTTCAATGTTAAATATATTTTATTTAATTTTTTTATTACATAAGATTTTATTCTCTACATTTGACTTTGGCTTGTTAAATCAAAATTAATTGAAAAGACCTTGATGTGGATTAAAGGAACCCAAAAATGTATTGCATTTGGTGCAGTAGTGGTTACCGGTACGGCAGCTGTTCATGCAGTAGGGCACACAGCAAGCACAGCAACACCAACTGAAAATTATAAAGAAAATAATTTATTCTAAAAAATAACAAATGTTTAAGTACCAGGTAACAGGACTTACCCAACTAAACACAACAGTAGGGCGCATAAGTGTGTACGCGAATTTGGTGTATAGCACATACGAGTTGTCTTATATGTACCACAATTGGGACATCTGGCAGCACAAGGATTAGGACCAAGTTTTGGTGGCTCTGCAAATCGACAAGAAATATTCAACAATAATAAGAAATAGCTTTATATTTAAATAAATAAATAAATCATATTTAAGTCAAACACTAAACCAAATTAAAAATAATTAATTATTGAGTGTGAAAAATGGCACTACAAATAGTGCTTATGCTATCTTATTTTATAATTACTCCAAGTACTGTTTCTAGAATACTTTGAACATAAATAATATTTTGGGTTAATTCTTAATAGATAAAATGAGTTAAAAATAACAAGTTCACTTCTTAGCGTATTTGATATTTTATATATTCATACCTGCATATATACATACTAACATATAAATAAAATAGTCAACGTTTTCAGTGAAAAACAATAGTCAAAGTGCCAGTTTTTTTTGCATTTAAATATACTATGATAACATCGAAAATAAAAAAATGTTAACTAAACTGAAAACTTTTATGAAAATTAGAAAAAAAACAGAGACTAAAAAGCTAACCAAGCGTGTAGCAACGTAGGCTGGAAGGACCCTCACTGCTCGACATTCTAAGATTTAAATTTAAAATAGTTTAATTGAATGAAATGATCAGTGAAGTTCCGCTCAATATCTTATCTGTTATTATCATTACCTAAAAAAAAAACTTTAGGAATCGTTTTCAATTACCGTATACGATTGCTTGTTAATAGAATCTATCTATCCTTTCCTCATCGATGTATCATATTTAGGGATTTAGGGTCAGTTGTTAAATCTTTGTGGACCCATTTTGGTATGTCCATGCATAAATGATAATAAATTAAGTTTCTGTATAAACCAGCAAAGAGTAGGACATAATTAATTGTTGCGAAAATGAGTTCACACAATTTTTATAGAAAACTTTATAAAATATATTATAAAATATATATATAAAAATTATTTAATGTTAAAAATCATTATTTTATATAAAACAAAAAAAATTATATACAATAGTATTTAATAAGAGTACTACAGAGCCTTTTTGTGTTCCAGAATTTGAAATTGAATGCAATGAACATGGCTGCTAAATATAGAACCCACTAGATAGTCGTTTTTATTGATTGAATGATGTCTTCTTCGACAACAGAATACTAGTGCTAACCATGTATATGATCATTGTACTTAAGAGCTATGGATTCATGTTATTTTCAGAAGGGAAGGATTTTATTATTATTATTAACTGTTCTTGTTAAAGAGATTACATAGTTTTCACTGGTTAATTTGAGCAGAGTTAATTAGAGGTAATTAATTAGGGATAAATAATTGTTAAAAAATTTAAGGATATCGAACTGTAGCATTTTAAAGATCACAAGGAAATGTGAAAATTGATAGAGTGTAAATAAAGTGATATATTGTTATGGGTTGCTGTTATAACTATCATCAGTAGTGAAATTGCATCAGCTGCGGTGATATTTTTGTTAGTCATAATATCGTTTGTTCAGAAGGATAGTATTCCATTCGAATTCTTTAGCAATATATTATATGAGTTGAAGAGAATCTACGCCTGGGTTAAGTACAACTCATTTCTAATACTGCGTTCATTGTTGGGGTATTGTGTTGAAATCAGTAGTTAGAGTCCTAAACAGTCCGCGTCAAGGCATCCATTTATGGGCCATTGTATCCAAAAAAAGTCTTAAAGTTCTGTTATTTGACTTTATTTTTGATTGAAGACTTTACTTTCTGTTTCGGTAGTAGTAGTATGTTCTGACTACTAAATAATAACTTTAATTATATAGTATTATATACATTGTATAAATTCATATATATGTAATACAAGTATATATTTAAATTAAACATTTAAAGTATATTCCATTGCCATTGTAGGTTGATATGCAGTTGACTTCGCAAAAAAAAATATGAGCGAGTATTCGCAATAAAAATCCACTTTAATTTTAATAATTTCCAAAAAATATGTACAAAATTACTTAAGGTTATTTCAAATAAGAAAAACTATCAAATAAACTATAACTTAAGTGTAAAACATAACGCGAAATTAAAATAATTACAAATATTTGAGAGGTTTTAATAAAAATGAAATAAGTCTTGCATAACATTTTTAATGCTTAACATTCACTCTATAAGCGGTCAAATAAGTTATGACATAGTTGTCATTACATATTTTAGTTTAAAATATTTATTTATTAATAATTTACATTAACTTATCTTTAAAGACTAATATGCAGATTTATACAGGTATATGTTATAATAATTTGTTAAATAAGTTTTCAGAGCTCCATATTTAATATTCCCCAAATTTAGGCTCTTCTCACATCTCAAGAAAATTTTTTCTTACCTACCGAAGACCTAACTGAATGATCGTTGAAATAATTATTTAAGTTGATGGAGTTTATTATGAGAAATAAATTTATTTTTACAACTTAGCATCTCCTTTTTGTAAACAGTTCCACTAGTTTATTAAACACCTTAGTAACATAACATTTATCCGATTCTGTAGCATCACAATATTTCTTCTATGGCAGATATCTATTTTCAAGTATAGGTAATACTAACTGTGATTATGTGACACATTAAAATTTTTGAGCTTTTTTTCAAATAAAATTAATTTAATATAAGTGAGAAAGTTTAAGCAAAATTTTTTGCATTTCATTAACGGACTATCAGTTCCATGTGACTTTTAATCATTTTGGGACTGACCTATAATAATAAAAAATTTGATAAAGTTTCATTGCAGCCGTTTTAGATTGTAATTTACTATTATTTTCACTACTTGATATATACATTTAAGTTGAGTTGAGGGCTAGTTAATATGAAGACAGCAATTTACAGACTGAAACCTGTAACCATGGTGTAATGTAATTTGAGTTGAGTTGAGGACTGATTCAAATATAGGCAGCTACTTCCTAACTGATATGTTACTCCAGAACCATGGAGTAATGTAATTAAAACATTATTTGAGTTGAGTTGAGAACTGGTTGATATGGGGGCAACCATATCCAAACTGAGGCGTTACTTCAGAGCTTTGCAGTAATACAATTTATGCATTATTTGAGTTAGGTTAGTTTGAAGACTGGTTGTTGTGTAGGCAACCGCTTCATAGTTTTAAAAAGCGTTACTCTAGAGCTATGCAACTTATGCATTACTTTATGCAACGGAGAGTGTAGATGATAGTTTATACCCATACTATTGACAGGTACAGGTGAATGGAATGTAGAAACTATTTCGTTGTGCGTGCTTCGGAATTGGGTTGTATGAACACAATCGATTTGTGTACATATTCCGAAATAATATATATTCTTTATTGAATATTGAAATTTGTAACGTAATTATTTGTATAAAGAGTATACCAACAAAAAGTAAGTCGACTTAGTAATGATATATAAAACATTAAAAATGATGTTGTGATTTAAGAGTTATAGCTCTTAAATTAATTTACACAACTAGTATTATTAATCAACTTCAAAATGTTTTTCTATGATTTTGTTATGTGCCGATTGTAGGGTATTAGTCGAAAATTAGTTTTTGCAATATTAATAAATGTGTATGTTTATTGCACTGCTGCAAGGTGTGTGCACTCACCTGTTGAAAATTGTTGCTGTTGTGGCGGCTGCGGTTCTGGTAACAAAATTTGTGGTAGTTGTTGCGAGATCGGTTGCTCCACAAATGCAGACGTTGGAGCCTCGCTGTTCGGCACATAAGTCTGATGTGGTTGAAAACCAATGCTAGACACTTGTGGAGCTGTTGGAGTTGTCCAATTTGGACTACTTATTGCCATATCATAAGATGGTGGCGCTTCTATAGGCAGTCCAATTGAAGCAGAGGCTGTTATGCGTTGCTCGTGGGGCATTGAATTAGCCCCTGACTCAATGGGGGGATACAGCATATCGTGCTTTTCTTCCATTTTTATTTTCTACACTTTTTCTTTTACACATACACTTACATAAGTCCACATAGGTTATTTTTTAATTAGGTTAAAAATATTGCCACTTTTGAACTTTAGCTCATTGCACTTAAATACTTTAAAAATATCCGCACGTGAAACAAACTCCTCTGCTTCGCTTCCGATTCAAGACTAAAACTAAAAATGTTAGGTTTTGTTTGGAGCTTCGATTGAATGGAGTGGTTTACACAATTTTTTAATTAGTTTTTGTTTTTATTTTTGTTTTCGTTTTTGTTTTTGTTTTGGCTTGTGTTGTTTTTATTGAGTTGTGTTATTTGTAACTTGTTCAGCTTGACGTTGGCACCGCTTCAGCTGATTTCCTAATGAAATATAAAACTGCAGCGAACACAGCTGAAAAATTAAGCGATCCAACAACAAAAAGTATCTGCGTTTCTTAAAGTTGGTGTCAGATCTCACGGAATGTTTGCTTAGCTAATAGCTCTCACGTAAGTGAATTGCTCATGTGAGTTGTTGGTCTTTGGGAAGATGGGTCGGGGAGTGAAATGAATTGGAATTCTCTGAAATCAGCTATGGAAAAATGGAAGCAAAATATGGTGAAAAAAATTTAACTGATAAGATTTTTAAGAAGAGGAAACGCAAATAGATAATGAAATACCTCATAGGAATAATAGATAAGGAATAAACACTGAGAAGAAGAATGTTGTAGCATCTGTGAGTTAGTATATTGAAAGTATTATTTAAAAAAATTTTTTTTTTATTCATCTTTGACTAAAACAGTGTAAAGAAAGAATTATTTTTTATTATTACATCGTTTTTCAAAGAGATTATATGGTTTTGCTTCATTGATTAAGCTGAGCAGATTGATTAGGGAATGATTTTAATTTATAAAACAGATCTATTATCGTGATGGTATAAATTTATAAGATGTATTATAACTTAGCGAAGAAAAGTTCAAAAAAAAATGTCAAAAAATATCGATGTAAGATATTTCATCCAAAATGATTATATGTGTGAGATGGCAGAAGACAACTTAATATATATAATTTATTTATATTATAGCTTCTACATCTAATTTTCTAAAGGCGTATTTTGTATTTTATTATTGCATCATACTTTTTTTTAACCTAAATGATAGTAAAATTTCTTAAGCAATTGAAATCAAGTATATCTAAATAGAGGTCCACGTATCCCTTAAAAAAAGTGTTAGATCTAAAATTTTGCGGAATGTCCGAAATATTGAATGGTTGAAATATTATTTAAAAAATTCATGGAATTACTTTACTTTATTATTTATTTTATTACTCATATATACATATATAACCACAACACAATGGGATCTTCAATCAACTTTGCCCTGTAAATTTAAGTGTCATAGCTTGATATTCGCATCTTCGTGTGGAAGATTCGCATCAACGATTTAGAAGCGTTCCGTACTACCAACTGGCGACAGCAAGCAACTGATCCAGCTGGCTGGCGTAGGATACTCGACGCGCATAAAAAAGACTCACGTCTGTAATGAGCAACTAGGTCAGTAAGGTTGAAAATTATGAATGCTATTTCGGCAAGATTATGTCGGAACCGGTATGTTTTTCCGATTTTTTACTATTTTACAATTGGAAAAAGATAGAACACCAGAAGATTGGTATGAATATTACCGAACAGTCAACTTACTTGATTTGGCTCTCAGCGATATCTTCCGGTTTGAATTATTTAAGAAACCATGGTTTCTTGGTTAAACAAAAATCCAATTCTAAGAATTGGTTTGGAAATTGGATATAGAGCTGGCATAAAAACGTTTTAGTCAATTTAGAATATTTTGAAGAGGACAATCGATAATCCGGAATAAACTTATGTTTTTAATATATGAATTCCTGAATCTTTTTCTTTGAGGTGGTATATAATAAAGTGACTATAGAATATAAATGGGGGTTGAAGATTGGTGGGATCTAAAAATAAACCACTATTAAAAAAAATAATTGTATAGCATTAGGTAGGTTATGGGATAGGTTATGGAATGTTATGAGTCTATAAGACAGGGGGGAAAGGGGGGTTATATGGTCCAAATAAAACCAGCATTTAAAAAGAATTAATGTAAAATACTAATATGGCAGAGAGTATTATGTACAAGGCTACACACACACGGATGTAAGGTTGATGTGGTTTTTGCCCTATATTTTCTAGTGCACACAGTTGAGTGGAAAAGTATTATAGCATATTTTAGATTTCGTCAAGTGTATATTTCTTGTACGCTTACTGTACAAGGAGGCTGTGCATGAGTTATGATGATGAAGACCACTTTCTATGTGTTTGTCCAGAATTTAAGAAATTATTTATTTATTATCCAAGTAGAGATAATGAAGGTAGACTTATTAAACCTCCATAAATTGATATAGAAGACCAAATGGTTTGCCAAATATTGCATACGAAGTTCAGTCACATTCGCGTTCGCTGAGCGAAAGGTTCAAACGAATCTCAAATAATTAAGATACTGCATACGTAAAATCTCCAATTCACAAGTATGAATGCGATTTTTATGAGTATATGGCGTTTTAGTTGGTTTCAGGTCGGTTATTCAATAAGTGTTAAGAGAGCATGCTAATAAAATTATCTGATAGTTATAATTTGCATTATTAAGTTCTCTGTCTATAGTTCTGATCAATGTTTGGGTTGGTGCGCCAGGTTTTCTAGAGCCTGAGTGCTGTTCTTGCAATATGGTTCGCAGACCTTCGAAGTGAGTGGTCAATCCATCGCTATTTGCGTCAACCAATCTGAACTGGAATGGTTTCTTGCTGTGTTTCTTGCTGGCTACACAAGTTTTCATTTCTTATTCTTTCAGGCCATCTTATGCCAAATATTCTGCGAAAGCACTTGTTTATGAAGGTCTATATTTTTGGTTGGAAGTTCTCCATGTTTCATAGCCATAGAAGCGAACAGATTTTAAGATTGATTCGAAGATGGGGAGTTTTGTTTTATAAAATATTTGGCACGATATCCATATATTTCTCAGTATACCGAAGGTAGAGTTTGCTTTGTTATGTTTAGGTAGTGCATGTATACAAACATATATTTATATTTGCTTATGAAAATATAATAAAAAATATTAAAAACATACAGGTCTGCTCCGTTCCAATGTACATCTTACAGGAATGGCTGTAAAAATCAATCACGTTTAATTTATTTATAATTTTAATTTTATTGAAATAAGATCTGTATAAGATAAACGGTCATCTGTATAAATGAAAAACGGTCATATTGTTTAGTATTTCCGATTTTCTGAGTCCAAAACCAAATAGTGTAAAATCTAAAATTTTACATTATAAATATTAGTTAGTTATTTTTTATATTTAATAAAATACTCTAATCGTTTCCAAATTTTCGTTTTTATTATGGATTCAACAGCTTTGGTGCCTGAATGTGAATTGGATTGCTTTATTAAGGTTCGCTACAAATCGCAAAAAAAGGAAAATAAAAAACTTCTAATAAAAAGGATTATATATAATTTCTGATTTTGAAGTTAAAATAAGTTTAATTAAAAAATCAAGAACTTATTCTATTTTCACGCTATTGGTGTTACCTTGGATTTTTTTATATATGCAACTATCTGATCCATAAATTCTTCAAAAGTTGGTTGTACTGTCATATTGTAGTCATACTAAGGAAATGATTTGTTGTGTCCCAAAATTTATAGTTGATTGCTATATTAAGTGGATTAATAAATTTGTAAGAAATTTAACATGTCTATTTTTACCTGCACGTCCTCAGTGTTGGATTGGTGATAGTTCTTAAAATTTCTCCTTCCTGCAATAAGTACTGTACATATAAATGGTATCGTCATAACTAAATTAATTATGGCCCCCTTAATCATATCGGTGAGAATTATGTTTTCAGTGCTCAGATAGCAAGTTTTGTCACATACAACAGGTAAATGTGACAATCTGTATAACAACAGAACCAAAATAATTGGCAATAGTATTTTGGGCCACATATTGTTGAAGATCTTTTAGAATTTAGAACTGCTGTTTGACGTATATATAATTTTATGAATATTATTTTAAACTTATTTTTCTTGAAATATCAAAAATTAGATTATAAAATTGGTTACTAGTTTGAATTTAGTTTAAAATATTTATAGTGACTATTATTTTTTTATGAATAATAAATCAAAAAGTGTTTTATGTTTTTAGTGACAGTTTATTATATATGTTTAATTGTTTGGGGCAATCGACTATGAAATTTAGTTTTTAAAAAAATTTAGTAGCTTAGATACGGCCCTCTTTGTTTTACTGGCATCACTAAGGACTAGGGTTTGTATAAATATCATTCAAAAGGAACCAGTACTAGTATATAACTTGTTTCTATAAATTACCATCGACACAGTGATTTAGATCTGCTCATTGCCGACGAGATCGTACAACTGTCATTCGAATTTCCACTCTACGCTACATGCTCAAGGTTTCTTAATGAAGAAGTCTAAACTGTGAACTAATATTCCATAATTATTCTCAGAGCATTTGCTACTAGAAATTTGAGTGAAACATACGAAGAACGAGAGACAATGAACTAATTTGTGTGATACTCGTAATTTTGTTGATTGAATACTTCAAAAGTACAATAAATCGTGTTTATATTCGTGTCAGATTAACTCAGTATCTTCAGGGAATGCATTCTAATGAGGCTCTATGTGTACAGTGTACACTCAATATTTTTATGCTCATCCATATTCTTTTTAAGGTGAATGTGAAAGTGAAAGAATGTATGAACCTAATTAAATTGTTACTAATTAATATATACCATGCATATTTAAACCACCATTTAAAGAGTAAGATATGAGTTCTTCGAATTATGTACTCACAAAATTGTCGCGTCTAAAGTAGGAAACTCTTGTCATTATGAGAAGGAACTAGACCTTATCACGTCTATAACAAAGAATATAATTGTTAATTCGAAAACGACTTTTTGAATGTTTCACTATTTTGTAGGGTTAAGTATATGTAATGAGTATTAGATATTGAATGTGATATTAAATATATTTTTATTACCTTCACCCGTTTAAATTCTGAGAATTTAATTACAATTTAAAAAATTTCTTAAAATAAATAATTATTTAATTTGATTTAATAAAATATTTATAAAATTCCAGATATTCTCTGTGTTTTTAACTCATTGTGTATATTGTGCTTCCTTGGGGTATCCGTGCTTTAAAGATTTCCCGTAGTGGTAACTTTTGCAACAACCTCAATAGTAATATTGTTGGGTCTTAAAAAAAGTATTTGCAATTTATAAAATCCAGAGTTCAAATATGGCCAATTAGTTGTGTTTGCGCCGCATTTATTTAGTTCGAATCGTCGTTTTGTCAATGGAGCCTTAAACTCTGTTTTAAACTGTGGCGAATTCGGCGCACATTTACTAAGCCCTTCCATCAAATACACTTTATAAACATTATTCATATAGTACTCCAGATTATTGGGTGGCATTTTAATTGCAGTTGGGATATATCTATCATTTCCTGAAACACTTTTCAACACATTCACTTCTATTATATAATTATTTGACATGTCCTCTTTAATATCTATAAAACCGTTTAATCCATATTTACCACGAGATATGCGATATATACTTAATTTC